TTATTAGACCCAACAGGACTAAGTTATTAGACCCAACAGGACTAAGTTATTAGACCCAACAGGACTAAGTTATTAGACCCAACAGGACTAACTTATTAGATCCAACAAGACTAACTTAGTAGACCCAACAGGACTAACGTATTAGACCCAACAGGACTAAGTTATTAGACCCAACAGAACTAACTTATTAGACCCAACAGGACTAAGTTATTAGACCCAACAGGACTAACGNACTAACTTATTAGACCCAACAGGACTAACTTATTAGACCCAACAGGACTAACTTATTAGACCCAACAGGACTAACTTATTAGACCCAACAGGACTAACTTATTAGGCCCAACAGGACTAACTTATTAGACCCAACAGAACTAACTTATTAGACCCAACAGGACTAACTTATTAGACCCAACAGGACTATTTTTGTTTATACATTTTAGCCACTTTGTTATTGAAAATGAAAGGAGCTGTTTTCAACAATCTTTACAGCACCTGACACACATTTTCTTCTGCTTATGCTCTTTTTCACTTTGTTGTGCTAATTTTAGCTTTTTTTCTGCTATTTCAGCTAAAATTCTACTTCTTTCTAATATTATTCTGATTTTTTCTACTTTTTTATAGGGTTTTGCTATATTCAGCAATTTGCTGCAATTTTTAGCTAAAGTTCAGCTTTTATTAGCTAAAGTTAGCTGTTTAAGCTAAATACACATTTTTGTAGCTATTAAAACTTATTTCTGCTAATTTCAGCAAATGTGTGCCCCTTATGCTTCCATATGTTAATTAAATAAGATCCAGCTACATTTTTTAGCTGTTTTAGCTATTTTACTACAAATTGTCACTTTCTGTACTTTTTTTCTGCTATTTTTTTTTTTTTACAAAACTTTCACAATCTGGGTGGTAATTACAACTTGTTGTTCCTACCTTTAGCTTATTTTTCTGCTAATTTTAGCTGTTTTATGCTATTTCAGATTCAGATCTGGTTCTTTCTCCTATTTTTATGATTTTTTTCTACTTTTTGTGTTTTTTTCCTGCTAATTTGTGCTGTTTATGCTTTTTACAGATCTTTCCAGCTTTATTCACCTATTTTAGTTTTTAGCTTTTAGCAGTTTTCTGCTATTTCAACTATATTTTTGCTCTTTTTACTGTTTTTCTGCAGTTAGGCTTTTTTTTTTTTCTTCTTTCGGCTTTTCAAAGTGAGCTCACTTTAACACTTCTGCTATTTAATATTTCAGCTCAATTTCAGCAGCTTTCAGTTTAAGATTTCAGCACGAAGCGTTCACACTAGTATTTTTATAACTGAATTATTATAAAACCTGAGGTCGGACTAATTAGATAATTTAACACATTCAGTTTTGTGAAAGGTTGATGATAAATATGGTTTAATTAGATYGTTCAGTTATACATAAACATTGAGGACAAACAGGTTTGTTTTTTATTTTATAGTCCTTTAATTTAATTCATCGCCTAAGATTCATATTTTTTAATTAAATGTTTTTAGCTGCTCTTAATAAAAGCTTTTCCTCTTATAAATATCCATTATTTAATTCTTGTAACAAATCATCTTTTGCAGAAGTTTAGTCTTTATTTGAATCATCCTGTCTGTTTAGAGACTCAGATTAGCTCTAAAAGAAGCAGAAAATGTTATTTTTAATGGTAAAGTTTCAGACTCTTGTTGTTTTGGAGACAGTCAGATTATCAGATTATAGCAGATTAAATYTATACTGAGCCGGTCTGCGTCCGAACCGATACCGGACAGCTTCACCGTAACTAGAACCATCAGTGAAGTCGTTTCTACCGATTATTTCCAAACAATATTAGCTGCAGCAGCACAGTTAGCATCGCTTCGTTCTGTGCAACCTGTTGTTGTTGTTGTTGTTGTTTACCTTAAAGCGGACCGTCATGGCCCCCTCTTACTTGTTCTGACAAAACCCCGGGAAGACTCCCCCCTCTRTTGGAAAACAACGAGCTGAAGATCGTAACGAGTTTATTAATTCATCACAACTAATGAACCCGAGCAACATGCTAACTATGCTAACCGGAGGCGCTTTGGTCGCTGCATCAAACAAGCTGCCGCCGTTACCATGGCAGCTCTGTTCAGTGCATGCGTGTTCGATGTGTCGGTGTGGGAGGAGTTTTGATTTTCTTTTAATGAAACAAAGGCTTTTATATACATATATTATATATTATTAAACTAAATAACTTTTTAAAACTAACCTTCAGAAACAACTAATAAAAATTAAATACTTGCTAAACCTGTTTAAATACCTATCAATTGTCCGTCAAATATATTTAGACACTTCTCTGTGTTAATAAAGAACAAAGTACATTAAAGTAAAAGGCAAATAAATGTGGAGTTTTTGCATCAAACATCAATGCTTCTCTTTCAAATATATTGTAGATTATATACTGTATATCTTAGTGTTTCAAGTTGAAACTGTAGATAAACAGCGCTATCTGGTGGCGGACAAGTTAAATCATAAATGATGTACAGTATTTTGCTGCTTAAAATATTCATTCCTTTTAACACATTTTGTTGTCAGATATTTGATGCTTAAAAACACGAGTTCTTGCAGTAATATAGGAGACTTTCAGACGTGAGTGTGAAGATTATGAGACCACGACACGGACCACCTCAGCCTGGTCTGTATCTGTCCTCAGAATGACTCACCAACACGGTTTTCTGTTACAAAATTGCACCAGTTTTATTCATTTAAGGCTTCTTAGTTTTTACATTTGGCTTCACCCCCTCCCTTCCCCCGCCTCGCCCGCTGTGGGTTTCTGTAAATCTAAGAAACCAGTTCAGACCAGACCGAGCCCACGGGCTGAACTGGGTTCTTTTACATTTCACTGGTCACCATGCCATACAGAGAAAAGAAGATTTATTTCAAGAAACTGGAGAAAAAAAATAAAACTTTTTGTTTTTGTCAGGCTGCAGCTGCGTTCACCTCGCTCACCRACATTAACCGTGTCAATTAGACAATATAATGTAGCTTTAAGCAGACAAGTAGTTTATTATTGCACAACAATCTTTAAATCAGTTACATTTCTACTGAAGCATCACAAACAGATCTGCTCAGAACTACATTACAAAAACACCCCCCCCCCCCCATTTTTTTACAAACTGGTAATAAACGCTGAAAGTGTCAACACAGCCGCTGCTGAGGTTCTTTACAAACTGACTCCAGATCTGCCAGACGTCCAGAGTCAGGCCCAGCTGGAAACGACACGACGTGAGGCGAGGAGCGCGGCTGCAGCCTGACACGTGGAGGCCAGAAGGGTCTGAATGCAGCCGTGGGTTTCTTTTAAAAYGCTCCTCAAATATAAAACAATCTGTGGAAACATTTACAGACATTTATCATACATGTAGATTTTATTCAGTCAAAACTAAAGCAGCAGCTGTTCGGGGTTTTGAATCGTCTCTTTTTGATAAAATCCACCTAATGAACTCGTCATGATAGGAGTGTAACGAGACGCTCAGACTGAGGAAATGAAATTAAAGCTTTAGTTTGTGTTGAGAGGAACGAGAAGTTATCGTTTCTCCTCTGATGTCCTGAGTGTGTCYAGGACATTTCTCTGAAAACAACCCAGCAAACTGTTTATTCTGACTGAAGTTTGACTTGTGAAAACTCATTTTTCTTTAAAAATATCATTAAAATCTCGTCTCAGGGGATAAGAGACTCGTTACACTCCTAACAAATACTTTTTTAGTTTTATAAACTGACAGTAAATGTGGGAAATCTGCTTATAAAGCTAAAAAAAAGGCGCTGAAAGAAAGAGAAATTTCACATTTTCATGCTGCTGCCCCCTGGTGGCAGAAATAAAAACTGCAGAAACAGTGCGCGCTCACAGCTCAGTCAGAAATAAAGAAATGCACTTGAACAGTCACCGTGGCTCCAAACAGACCTTCTGCTCTGCATGCAGACGCTCACAGAACCTCCTGCAGGTCCGACTGACACAAACATCAACATGCTACATGAGGACCAGAACACTGACAGCAGAACTGCACCAGACCCCTGATAGAAGCAACACTGTTGCAGCAGAGCTCACACAGGTCCCGGGTTTTAAACCCTGAACCCGACCCCACGGAGTTCTGTCACTGCTCAGATCCAGGACCGGTCCTGGACCAGTGTGAGTCTGCTGACGAAAGGCAACATGTCGGCCCGAAGCAGCAGGTCCAGCCTGAGCTCCCTGTGCTGCTAACACGTGTAGCATTAATGCTAACAATGAAAAACTCACCCAGGCTAACCTTAGCTACTACGGCTAGTTAGCCAGGAAGGATCTCATTTAGGAACTATTTATCTAAAACAGTGTTTTAGCGTGGTTAGCATTTCCTGCTAATGCTAACAGGTTCATTCAGTGGTCCGAGCTCAGATCTGGAACCTGGAACCCAAACTGTGTTCCTGCAAAATCATCCAAAAGCACGGTGCTGTTGAACCAGCTGCAGGGATTAGCRGTTAGCATGCTACGCTAGCTCTGTTTTTGGACTGTGACATCATCATATTTAGATTTTACTTCCTCGGGTTCTGATTCCTTCTGGGGATTTAAACGTTTGCTTTTATGACAGAACGGTCTGAACTCAGAACCATCTTTAGCAGCACAGAGAGCCGAAGCAGAGACCCTGCTGCGCCCCTCAAGCCCCGCCCCCTACCCCAAAATATTAAACAAAACACAAAACTAAATGTTAACAGACTTTATAACTTTTTACACAGAAATATAATAATAAGCACTGTAATGATAATAATAATAATAATAATAATAAATCCACAGGTTTAACCAGAGCCGCCCGCAGACACGGGTGGCCATGTTGGCTTTACCGCCTCCATGGTGAAAACAACGAGAGAAACAAAAACAAAAGAAACTAAAAGAAAAGTTTTAAAAACAAAAAGAGCGAGAGGCCACTCCCCCAGCACAGAGCGGCCCAGCAGAGGGCATGATGGGAAATGAAGTTCTAACTCTGGGCAGTGGATCGGACAGCCCCGCATTCCTGCAGAATCATCATCGTCATCATCATCGYCTTCTGATGTTTGTTTTCTTGTTTCCAAGGCAACAGTCTCCACTGAAGTATGGGAAAAGTGGTCGTTGTGGTAACAAGTAGAGGTCGTCGATGAGGATGTCATGGTTGTGTTAAAGGGGCGTGGGCAGCTGGAAGATGTCCTGTGATTGGTTGGCTTGAAGGTCGTCGAGTCAAAACTGGAGAAGAACCGGAGGTGTTTAAATGAAAGGTTTAATTAGAGAGAGAGAGAGAGAGAGAGAGAGAGAGAGAGAGAGAGAGAGAGAGAGAGTGAGTGTGAGTGTGTGTGTGTGTGTG